TCCATTAGATGCTGCTTTTCCCTGATAGCTTCATTTAATTCTGTTAGCACCAGTGAGATCCCTCGTTACGCTTCAGGACAGTTCCCATCAATATTTGCACGTGGCCTCTTTTGGATATTGGCCTCAATAGTCTAATTTGTAACCGCCAAGCCACAAGCCCAGGAGCATATTCCGTAGATGTTTATTTATTTTGTTATCGTGTTCCCTTGCACGCTGTATAGCCTTTGGTTCACCCACCGTACGTGTACGTCTTTCTGTTACATTTTTGTTGCTCCCTCTAGCCATAGGCAGTGAGGCCATCTTGTCTGACAAGTTGTATGTCACAAACCATAAAATTACATACACGCACACAGCATTTTTTTCCAGAAACCCACAATTTTTTCTCTGAATGAGAACAAATCTTTTTGACAAATAATCCTTCAGCTTCCTGATGTACAATTTTCAGCTTCTTCTGGACATCTACTATTTGACTTTTTTTTTTTACACTGCTGCATTGTAAAATGCCAATTAATTTCTCTGCCCATCCAACTGGCACGTTTCAGGGCCCCACCAGCAGTACTGGAGCTGCTGTGGCAGGAAGGGCAGCGTTCCCACCCACTGCAGGGTGTGGAGGCCAGCCCAACCTCTCGGGTTTCTGCTCTCTGGACACAACAACCAACAATATCTAGGTTTACTTCTCACCCCTAAGAGTGGACAAGACTTTACAGCTACAATAGTGGGCTATTATAGAAAAATACTCAGATATATGCAGGCCAGAAATGAAATACAAGTGATCATTTCAGGATATATCTTGTTTGAGTATTTCTGATTTTTCAAGACCTCATACTGGTTACAACTATTGACTGTTTTCTTGATTATGTTGTTTCTGGCTTATCTCTCTAGAAGCAAATATGTTTTTCTAGACTATTTTTCTTTTCTTCTCTTTTTAATGAAACAGCATTTGTACAAAAAGTGTCTGCTTTACATGAAAAATTTCAAGGTACTAATACTAAGAAATCTTCAAATTTAGAACCAAGATATCTAATGTAAATGCTTCCATATCACTGTGCATGCTGGAGTTCCGACACTGGGAACATGTTATTTTCTGTGAGCCATGTTTCCCAGGCAGAGTCAATCATCTGCCAGGGTATGCTATAGCTTTCACATTCCTTGTGGTATCATGTAGTAACAAGTGATCATGATGTGTGGTATGAGATATAGCCCTAATATAATAAAGCTAGTATATAGACAAAAGGGGAGGAGTGAAGCACCTAGTCTACATTTGTGTTTATATAATATGGCAGATAAGCTTTACAAACCCTGTGGTTTACAGCTGTACTTAATATAACAATGATGGTGTACAATCATGCAGGTTCAGTAATTCTTTCAGTTGGAATTATTCATTTTCACTCAACAGTTGCAGCATTTGGTCCTTATAAAATAAAATGTTGCAGACTTTGATTCTCATACCTGAGTGTCCAGCACCATGTCTTTTGTTTTTGTTTTCGTAAAGCAAACCTTGCAAACCTGCCGTAGCTTATTTAAAATGGAGGCTGACAACATTTCAAGCAGAAATGCAGTTCACATTGAGGTGACAAAAAATAGAGTTGTCTTTCATAGTCCTTGCAGCCCATCCAAACAGGATTCCCAGTTGTGTTCATGCAGCTTCCCAGTGTAAGGGGAGCCTTGAAATCTCCAGCTTAAGTTTTAAAATAAAAATAATAATAAAATAACGAAAGTCAAGTCTTGGTGGAGTAACCGTAGTGGACTCTTCCAGCCTGGAGAACAGGAGGGACATAGTGGTTGAGCATCACCCCAGCAGGGAGGGTACCTCCATAGGATTGAGGCCACAGCCTCTACATCAAGACAATAGCTCTCCTCTCGCTGTATGAAGGTGTTTGCTTTCTTTCTTCATTGTCCCTTTATTTTCAGTTCTGCTAAAAGAATTAATATCTGTTGAACTCAGGTGCCAGCAGTGCTTCAGAGCTGCCAGGTCTCACAGAAATGTATCATATTTTGGGTACAGCATAGTACCTGTGCCATGTGACAGGACAGGTTTACATTAGATGTCAGTACATTGTTCCCAGCGGGTTAGGAATTTCTTTCTGCATGGGATTTGCTGAGATGTGTACTGATTCCAACTTCATTAGTAAAAAGATGCTAAAATCTGAAAATGTCAGGAGAAAAGGCTATGATGTTTGAAACCCTTTAAGAGTGATGTTCTTTGCTCTACCTGCATTGGATCGTCTGTTGCTGGACCATCTTAGAAGCCAAGACAAGCTTATACTTTTACTTTTGCATCATGTCAACTCTGCACACCCAGTGTATGCTGTATTTGTATGAAGACCCTTCCAGGGACCCCAGCATTGAGTGCAAGCAAGCAGCCTCTTCTGCTGCTTATGCTGAATGAGCAATCCCCTCTTCCCCTGAGACTCAGTGTACCCTTTCCTTCATACACTCAGACTTGCCTAGCCTGCAGTGCAAGAGTTTCAAGTCTGTCTTCCACCTGATTCCTCTTTGGATGTTTGCATTCGGAGCTGCTGCTTGCTGTGATTGCCCTAGGCCTTCACACATCTAAATGGGATTTAATGTCAGCTCAACATAAGCACAAGTACATAAGGAAAAGATGTATGGGGGTAAAACACAGGAAGCTACCCCTACAAAACCCTGAAGGTTTTTGTTAGCTCTTCAGTCCTAAGGTAAATGCATAAACGGTAGGAAAAGGAGTGGTGCTGAAGATCTTTGCAATAATGTAGAACTGTTAATCAAGTATGTTTTGAGGTCAGTGAAATGAAAAGATCTTATTTTCAGATTATTGGCATCAGGTCACCTTATCTGATTTGAAATCTGTCTGTGCAGTACTATTGCAGTGTTTGAGGTACGTATTGGTAGCACTTTCTTTATGTCAAAAGTGTGAAGAGTTCCATTTTGTAACAAATGGTGAGGCTAGAAGAGCTGGACTAGGAAGCACAAGAGAGCAAAAGACCATCCAATGGGTTCAGAGAGCAAAATCCTTCACCTTTCAGGCTACAGAATTGTAATACGAGTTGAAAACATAGCTTCTTTCACTGGTGTTTTAGATACAAGACCTAAATGTTCCTCTGACCACACCTCAGTTTTGTCTGGTTAAATCCTTCCAGGAACATAAGTGACAAAACCTATTGCTTGAGCTTAACCTCTGCAATCTGGTTTACCATGGCTAAGGATGTTTCCAGAAAGATGATGTTGTTAAAACTGTACTTTAATTAGAAGAATATGGGGGTAAACATCTGAAATTTCTAGAAAAGGTGGGGTTTACTTGCTTTTCTTGGTTAAAGAAATGCAAATAAAACTTTATTGATCCTTTAAAAATAATCTGTTTAAATTCATTATCCCTTTATTCCAACATGCTCATTTATATGTAAGTTTTTTACTATAAAATGCAACAGCTTACCATCATGGGTTAAGACTTGCATCCAACCTTCCATTAAAGAACAATGGATAGATCCCTGTACTCACTAATAAGCACTTTCAGTTATCTTTATGCCTGAGTCAATTCTTCCACCAGGAAGCCTAAAGATAGTGTTGACCTTTAAAGGGATACCTGTAAAAATTGAATTGAGCAGGTTTTATTGTTCCTACAAAAACCTGGAACTCTTTTGTGTTTTCTTCAGCACCTTTCCACTGAGTCTCAGCTTATTAACTGTGACAGTAGCGCAGGCATCTCACCTTTAAATGACACTCCTACAGCAATGATTGCAGGGAGCATACACATGTTTACATTAATTCTTCAGCTTTCCTTCTTGCTGGTGTCTTTAAATTGAGTCAATATTTGGCCAAAGAAATAGTCTTATTTTGGGGCTCCAAGCACCAGATCCACCCACTGTACACAAACTGTTGAGGATGTGAACAAGTAAATAATGACATTCCTAGTTCTTTCTAGTCCCTGTGATCAGCTTTGGCTAATGCATTGTCAATGTCGTTTCCTTTTTTGACAAACATGTTTTCTGCGAAATGCTAGTTCTGCCACAAGGCATCAGTTCAGTTCTGTGACTTTGACTTTGTTCCATTGTTAAAAAGGTATTCAGCCTAAGCAATGTCTTCAGGCTGAAGCACTGAGCTTCATTAGACGTATAGGTCTCCAAGCTGCAAAATAAGAAATCATCACATTTCTACAGAGTGCTTTATTAAGACATTTGAACTTCCAGTGCTAATGAATTCATGTTGGAAGTTTTTGTGAAAATCTTTGTAATAGGCTCAAGTGGCTTAAAGGGCAAAGATCTACTTTAAAATACTTCCCTGAGAAGTTTATTCTTGGTTTCAGTGGGATCTCAGGCCAGCACTGAATGCTTCCCTTCCCCTTTGCATCCTGCATTCCATGTTATGCAGTATTTTCTAAGGCTGCAATTTCAGAATAACTTTAAGGTAACTTAATACTGTATGAGACCTATTCCCCCATCTCTCCTTCTAAAACCCAGGATACTAGTTCTAGCTTTCACCTCTTGCTAGCACCAGTCTTTATGCTCATGTTCATTGAGCTAAATCAGAAATTGATCCAACTGAAAATTAACCTTAGAAGAAAAGAGATCTGTGTCCTGTTTTTCAGATATGAGCCACCCCAAGGTAATGCAAATGCCTATGTCAGGACTGAGCAGGCAGAGCTGGGCAGCTGCACAGGCTTGGGGCAGGCAGAAATGATCAAGTAACCAGGATCTCCAAACAACATTTATTTAAACATGGCGGGGGGGAGGGGGGGGGGAATACAGAAGGAAAGACTCTGAATAGCTTCACAAGTTTCATTGTTATTTTAATGTACAGATTCACTATTTATCAAGCACCATTTGGCTTTGGGTTGAATACTGAAACATTTTGCTACTGTCATCTTCAGAAATAAAAAAAAAAAAAATAGAAAGGTAGCATTGGAAAGAAACATTTTTAAAAAAATCTGCATTTTCCAACACCTTCAATGTTTTCAACATTTTACTATTGCAAATCACTGTTCACTGTTTCATGCAAGCTGTTTTTTATTCTCCTCTTCACAGATCGAATTGCACAGAATATCATTAAATCTCATTTGGAGACATGTCAATATACATTGGAGGAACTACACCAGCTAGCGTGGCAGACCCACACATACGAAGAAATTAAGGTTTACCAGAGCAAGGTACAATCCTGTAATATGCTGCTTCTGTTCCTTATGGTTTGAAATTGTTAACACTGTAATGTATTTGGCCAGGTTATGCTGATGAGTTTCATGCAGGTGAAAATAAGCTTTTAAATATCTTTGAGGAGCTGGTTACTGGAAGCAAAGGAGTGGCGCTTCATAAAAAGAAGCAGCAAGTTTTTTTCCAGCATGTTGGGATGTTTGCTAATATTGAAGCTTAGGGATGGTTATGGAATCCAGCTTTCCATGTTTTGCTTGTTATCACAGGACTTTTTTTTCCTTATAATTTGGAAAGCACATCACCTTTTTATGTGAATAACAAATATCTGTCACTTATATACAATAGATAACAAACTGAAAGTACTCCTTAAATTGAAGTTGTTCAAAACTGGGTAGAGAAATGATCTCATTACACTATATTTTTGTTCTACCTCTGTGATTCTCAGGTCAAGTTCACACTATGGCACCTCTTCAGATGTAGTCCAGTCAATAGAAATCTTTGTGCCTCTTGCACTGGCATCACTAGCAGTGATTCTTCAGTCAGATTTCATTTGGCACATTAGCTGATCATGTAAGAGACAGAAGAGACTCCAGTTTGTTCTTTGAAAGTTGAGGGGCTATGCAGTACTAGCAAGAATAAAAACACACTACAGCTTGTAGAGCTGTGCCATGCAAACCAAGAGCATCCATTTCCTTGTGTGTGCAAGGAAAATAATTATCAAGGAGATGAAATTTTGATGCAATCGGTGTTCAGATTGCAATGATACTTCAATTATATATTATTTTAAGTTTCAAACTAGCAAAAATATCCTGTTGGATAACTTAATAGCACTGTGCCACTTCTTCCCTAAGAGTACTCTGGGACGTTTGCATTGTTTGTGCCACTGTTTGTCCGTCTTGCACAAAAGCTGACATTAGAATCACATTTTAACACTGACCAATGTATTCTCCCCCTTTGAAGAGGCAATGCCAGAGTTCAGATCACTGGGGCAATCAGCTTGTGAAAACAGCCTTCTAATGAAGTGTCAGGTACCTTGAGAAGCAGAGATGCTGCTAGCTCTCCTGGGGATGGGGGCAGAATCTGAGAAGTGCGCCTTTCTGCAAGGCCACCTGAAACGCTTAATGCACTGATGAACCCACTTGCTCACTGCTTTGCTTTTCCATCTGTGTTTTCCCGGAAGACCAGAGAAGCTCTGTGGCAGCAGTGTGCCATTCAGATCACCCACGCTATCCAGTACGTGGTGGAGTTCGCGAAACGCATAACAGGCTTCATGGAGCTCTGCCAGAATGACCAAATTCTCCTCCTTAAGTCAGGTGGGTAAACGCCAGAGGCTTGAGACTGGTTTAGCACCGTGCATTTGAAATGTGCTCTGCTGTTTTGTTCTGCAAATCATTTTAATTTTGAAAGAGCCTTTATTTCAGTCTGTTTCATTAACTACATTAACCCTTCCGTATTTTTCCACATTAATCATGTTACTGCCTTCTGATCCCCTTCCCTCTACAGTCAATTGTGGTTATTAAGTACCTTTACGCACACAATTGTTGCAGAAACTGCAGTCTCCAACCTGACATGTGGTGGAAGGACCCTGCGATTTGAGCTGGTCGAATCAGTCATCTGCCACCCTGTAAAATCCCCACTTGTCATTAGTCAAATGAACGCAGGCTCACCGGGGCCTGCCTCTGTGGTCATCTCTAATCTTTTTAATGAGACTACAGAAATACCCTCCAGCCAGTGCACAGGAGGGAAAATCCCTGCTGGCGCCAGTTGGTTTCAGAATAAATGAGAGCAGATTACGGTGGTATGCTCCGGCCGCGCTCTCTGTGTGTGCCTGGGTGTGCACGTGTGTGCATAAGGGCAAGGGGGAAAAGGGTTTCCTTCCCTGTCACGGGACTCGGTAATTTCTGTCCTCCGGAAGAATCATGACAAGATTTATCGTGACTATGTAGTAACACTGCCAAACCAGGAGGACAAAATGGTATAACCAAGTGAATCACAACAGGTAATTAACTGCATTTACCCTATCATATCAGTTTCTTGCTTCCTCCATGTGTAAAGGGCAGGATGCTGTGTGAAGCGGCTTGTTAAAGCACAAGAAGTGCTTCATATTTCCAGGGAGAGCTCTTCATTAAGGCTGAAAGCTGGTGTGATCCAGCACTGTACATAGAGGGCTGTGGCTCACTGTGGGGCTGCACTGAGACTGTGGGCACAGGTGCAAAGGGAAGCGGTACAGAGACCCTGGGAACACACAGGCAATGCCCTGGAAAAACAGAGTCATAGCATGAGAACTGATGTTTTAAAGCTCATACTAATTCCAAAAATTCTGCAGAGGTAGATGTAGATGCTGAAGTAAATTTCTTCATTTGGCTGGCAAAACTAACAACACAACTGCACCTCCAGCAAAAGATACAGTTATATTTGACTGTACTGTTGGAGAACTCTGTTCAGGTTCAGCATGTATAAATATGTCTGGTTTTATTTTCTGTTTTTCTGTTAATGCTGAGCAGGAGTTAGTAAATCAGGACTTTTCACTCAAAAGCATGACTGCAAAAGAATCCTCAGATGCAGAGTTCCTCTTACAGGGGATTTGGATTTAGTTAAGGGATGCTTAAAATTTTTCCCTTCATTTTCCCAAACTGTATATCTTTACAGTTAAGAAATAAAAGGGAAAGATAAAGAAAAAAAAAAAAAAAAAAAAAAAAAAGGGTTCTTTGGCTATTCCCCAACCTCAAAGGAAAAACAAGGGAAACAAAGTAAAACCCAATTTAGGGGTGTTCTTGACAGTACTTAAGTTTTATGTTCTCTCTAAAAACACTTTGTGGTATTCTCCCCCTCCAGGCAAATGAAGCTGGGATTTATATAGGTATTGAATTAAGCTGCTTTTTTGTATAAAAGATGGTTAGTTATTAAAAAGGAGTTTCAATAAATGCCTAATTTAGAGAAAAAAAAAAAAAACAAACATTTTAAATGAAAAATATTTGCCCAGGTGTAAATTCAGGTTAGGTCCAGGCTTCCAATTTGCTGCAATGGGGGGAAAACCAATCTAAAGAAAAGGTGGTTAAACTGGATGAGAAATTACCTCTTTCTATAGTCAAAGCAGACAGAAATATTTTTTCTCTCATTCAGAGATATATCATCTAGATACCTTCAAAGAGTGTCTGTCCCTGCCAGTGTTTCTAATGACTGATGTCTTCCTAAATATTTTTTTTTAATTTCCTATATTCTGATGTTTTGCAGTAATGTGTGGCACTTTTGCTCTTTTTTGTGTCTGTCAGGCTGCTTGGAAGTGGTTTTGGTGAGAATGTGCCGTGCCTTCAACCCACTCAACAATACTGTTCTGTTTGAAGGAAAGTATGGAGGGATGCAAATGTTTAAAGCCTTGGGTATGTTGGTCTTCTTCTTTTCAACCAATTACATTAAGCCACATAGTGACAGATTTGTCTTTCTGAAAATAGTGACCTACAATGAAAATCTCCAGTAAATGTTGAATCCCCAAACCTCCAAATCTCTAGGCTGGAATTAAAAAATAAAAAAGGTAACTCCACTAGCTGCTAGCAATGATAGGTGTTTTTCTCTAATAAAAAAGATCAACATAAGGGTTTTTCAGATAGACTTCTTACTCTGCCATCTGAAGTTTTGATAAAACGTGAGTGTATGGCAGGAGCCAAGTAGTTTATCTTCATAGATAGTTACGCTTGATATAGCAAATCAGTCCCATTAATTGTATCCTGCAGAAGGCAGTTTTAGCCCCAGCAACAAATGGACTAAAACAATGAACTACTACAAAATACAGATGACAATTTATCTAAAATACTGTTTTGCGTAAAACTTTTAAGCTTATTTAGATTCATGTATTGAAACAATTTCTGCATTTCTCAGCATGATATTGAATGCTACCTGAAATGTTAATAGCTAAATGGATGTCTTTTGCCCATCCATGAGACTGATAAATTATCAGAAATTTATTCAAGACCAAACTCAGAGAGACATATTTGCTTCAAATGTATATATTTATCACATCAGTATATATTTTTCTTATTTGCATATAGATAAATGTAACACTACTTTACAAGTTTCAAGCATTTATGAATGTTCATTAGTTGATTTATTTTGGTGTTTATGATGTTTTCACAGGTTTTTATAAATATTTGTAGTGTTAATTAATAAAATTATATGTGTGAAAGTTATTTAGGACTGGTCATTCATAACTCTTAGATTTAATATCTGTTTAGAAATAGCATTTCTTTCCATATTGGGAAAAGAAAACCCTCTTCTAAGATGTCTGTGCAATTTTTGTACAGGTCATGCCCCCAATTCTTGATAATTTTTGTGCTTCAATGGATGTTTTAGTGATACATATTCGGGCTAGGTGGAATTTTAATAGTTGATGAAAGGCACTTGTTTTGGCAGTACAGACATTGACTCACAACTTTTTTTTGACACCAAAACAATCCACTTTTCATGGCAGGTTAAAGAACTGATAAATTTCTAGCATTGATTTTGTCCTCTGTGGTCTGCAGGTTCTGATGATCTGGTGAATGAAGCATTTGACTTTGCAAAGAATTTATGTTCCTTACAGCTGACTGAGGAGGAGATTGCCTTGTTTTCATCTGCTGTTCTGATATCACCAGGTAATTTTTCATTCTGAACACCACAATGATTTTTTTTTTCTTCCCTGTCCACCAGCTGTTTAAAATGCATTAAGCAACATTAAGCAATGTATGAATTACCCAAATATACCTCACTCTCTTTTTGGTAGATTGTCAGCAGTTACACATACTGGAAAGAGATCTAAAGTGTGGGGGTAATGGACAAGCATTGCAAGCTTGTCCAGACCATGTACATTGTCCATTGCAAGCGTTCCTCCAGACCATGTACAGAGAAGCCTGGTGCTCAAGGAGGTGCATATTCCTCCTCGCATTTTCAGGGAGCTCAAACCTCACAGCCTTGAGCAGATTATATAGTCCCTAACTATGATGGGCTTTTTTCTGTGGGTATAAGAACATGAGCAGTAAAAATCTGTATGAGGTTCTGTCTGAATTTCGCTGCAGGTGAGAGGTGGTGATTCCAGGGGCAACATGCTCTTTTTCATGTATTCATATATCATAGCTCTGCACAGGCAAGCGTGCATTCAGTGAGTCCTGGCTGTCTGACTGCAGAAAAGAGCTCTTTGTGATTGAGTTGACTCAAAAGGTGGATCTGCTAGATAAGCTCACAGTTTACTGTGGGATTTTTAAACATGCCTCATGGGAGGTGGAATCCCAGTTCCCACTAAGAGTAACCTCTTGAAAGGCCTTTACAAAAAAAATCCCACCATTAATTATTTTTCCAGCCTGTTCTGCTAAAGACTTCCTCTAGGTCGCTTTGCCCTTTTGCACATCTGTGGTGGAGATTATGTTAGGCAGAATTAGACTAGCACAGATGGTGTCAACATGTTTATTCTCATCATTAATGACACCTACTGAAAGGACTCTGCTCCTTTTATTTTCCCTTTGAGCAGTTCTTGCGATCATCTGCTTAGAAGTGAAATGGTTGAGCTGGTGGTTCTTCATGGTGTTAGGCCAGGATCTTCCAGAGACGACCCTCTAAGCAGCCACCTTTTCCATCTCAGAGATGCCCCAGCTGCGCGCAGGGGCAAGAGTTGCCTAGGCACTGTCCCCCAGATGCTCTGACTTCTTCTGGGACAGGGTATCTGCAGTGTCCCAATGGGTCCCTGTCCATCAGCCTTCCCTCAGTCTGAAAAGACTAAAGTTGTGAGCATGACAGAGATGTGCAACCAGTGCTCACTCCTGGATAGCATTAGTGGCCTGTTCAGCAGACTGACTCAGTGCAAAGCTGAAGACAACTTGGAAATTTGTTTGGGATCTGGGCTGTGAAGTTCTTCAGTAAGATGTTAACAGAAACTGCAGAAGATTGTTTCACTGTTTCCAGCGGACTTCACATTATGAAGCCAAGGTGAGCAGGAAGAAGGTGGTAGGAACCTTGTAAGTAGGATCTGTATTTCTGTTTTTTAACAACTTCAGGGTTTTTTTACTCTTCAGGTTTTTTTCTTACAGTTAGGAACAGGAAAAGTAGGAGTTAGCTGAACTGACAGAAACAATTAGAGCATTTCAAAGCTGACTTCAAAGCACTTTAGATCAGATAGAGGCATCTCATCTGTAGGGAGAAAGAAAATTCAGTTATGTAATTTCTAGCCAAATTGAAAGGAAGTCATATTTCTGTTTCCCAGGTAGTCTTGGAAAGAAGAACTAGTTATAGCTCTATTCAACAACAACTGATCACTGAAAGCTTCTAGCATCTCAGACTGTCCTGTGCTTTAGATCTGGTCAAAACCTATTTAAGTAATGGGAATTTTCCCACTGATTTAATGGATTTTGGATCAAGCAATTTATGAAATGTGCTTAGATGCAGGTAGGCATTAAATGGACATCAAAATTTCGATTCAGCTCTGCAGTTCTATATATGTTCCTTTAGTTTACAAAGCACCAAAATCTCTTGTATTCTGCCACCACTTCATGTTGCCTGAGTATCCACACTCATTTCTACTTCTTGCAGCTGTACGAAGCACTTGAAAAGCTAGCTACTCAGCACTGGCTTTGAGCCAGCTATATTGCAGGCGTGTGTTGTAAAAGCTTTTCCATTAACTCTAGTAATGCATTTCAGTCCTGATATACACCAGTCCTGATACAGCCTTGCAGAGCTGGGTGTCTCTTGAATAGCAGCTTCTGTTTCTCCTAGGTATTGCAGATAAGTAGAGGCAATTCCAAGGTGTTCTTCACTATAATCAAGCTTTGGGGTTGAAGGTAGTGCTATGAGATGAAATATTTCAATAAACCACAGTTCCTGAGTTCACGTCCAAGTTGGATTTTTCCTACTGGCAAGCAAGAGGGCACAAAAAAATGTCTCCTATTCCTTTAAGCAAAACAAACAAACAAAAAAGTAATGTGAAAGTGCTTGATGCATGCTGACTTGTCTGTATGCATGTGTATTTTTAGTCATAGAAGATGCAATGAGAAAGAAATGATGGGCTGAGCAGCATGTACATGAGTGAAAATAAAAGATCTGTAAATTTGGATTGTGCAAATAATTCCCATTTCAGCTGGGCTGCTATGTTTGGGAGTGAGAAGGCAGGGAAAATCAGTACAGATTGAACTGACATTGAAATTTGCCATTTTCTTACAAAAATGATAACGGTAAACAATGAAGAAAGAAATCATTTACTTCCATACTAGATGTTCCAGTTTCTTCACAATAAAGTGTTTCATCTTGGGAATATACATAAAAATTAAAAAATGAAGCACTGCTTCTCAGAAGTACCTGCACCAGTCCTTCCATCCACTAATATAGATACAGAGAGATTCCCTATGGGAAGTACTTATATTGAAGTTTATTTTCTACAGGAACCACCAACCTGACAGGTGATTCTTGTGCTCACAGTGTTCAGGTAGTTTACAGGAAAAAGAGCTAAGGGAATAAGTGGAGCTAAGAAGATCCATTAATACAATTGCTAAGTTTGCAAAATGCAGACCCGTTCTCCATATGATTCAAAGCACAAATCCAGACTTTCCAGTTTAGGGTAGACCTAACCATTCTTCTTGGAGGTGATTCTTTAACTTGATTTCTGATTATTGGCTGGACAGTTGCACTCAAAGAGTTGCGATCAACAGCTCAATGTCCAAGTGGAGACCAGTAACAAGTAGTGTTTCTTATGGGTCAGTATGGGGACCAGCACTGTTTAACATCTTTGTTAGTGACATGGACAGTGGGATCGAGTTCACCCTCAGCAAGTTTGCTGACAACAACAAGGTGTGTGGTGTGGTCGACACGCTGGAGGGAAGGGATGCCATCCAGAGGGACCTTCACACGCTTGAGAGGTGGGTCCATCCAAACCGCATGAAGTTCAACAAGGCCAAATGCAAGGTCCTGCACATGGGTCAAGGCAATCCCAAGTACAAATACAGGCTGGGCTGGAAATGGATTGAGAGCAAACCTAAGAAGAAGGACTTGGGGTGTTGGTTGATGAGAAGCTCAACATGACCTGGCAATGCACACCTGCAGCCCAGAAAGCCAAATGTATGCTGGGCTGCAGCAAAAGAAGCATGGCCTGCAGGTCGAGAGAGGTGATTCTCCCCCTCTACTTCACTCTCATGAGACTCCACCTGGAGTACTGCATCCAGCTCTGGGGTCCCCAGTATAAGAAAGACATGGAGCTGTTGGAGCGAGTCCGGAGGAGGGCCACGAAGATGATGAGAGGGCTGGAGCACCCCTCCTATGAAACCAGGCTGAGAGAGTTGGGGTTGTTCAGCCTGGAGAAGGCTCCAGGGAGACCTAATTGCAGCCTTCCAGTACCTAAAAGGGGCCTACAAGAAAGCTGGAGAGGGACTTTTTTATCAAGGAGTGTAGTGATAGGACAAGGGGTAATGGGTTTAAACTAAAAGAGGGTAGATTTGGATTAGATACAAGGAAAAAATTCTTCTCTGTGAGGATGGTGAGACACTGGAATAGGCTGCCCAGAGAAGTTGTGGAACACTTTCCCCTCCCTGGAAGTGTTCAAGGCCAGGTTGGATGGGGCTTTGGGCAACCTGGTCTAGTGGAGGGTGTCCCTGTCCATGGCAGGGGCGTTGGAACTAGGTGGTCTTTGACATCCCTTCCAACCCAAAACATTCTATGATTCTATGATTTCCAAGGTTAAAACATTGTAGAAGGAGACCAGTACATGCCAGAGCCCAGTGGTAAGACACTAGCCTGGCTATACCCTGTGTACCAGTTCCTCTTCTGAAATTCTGACTGGCCATGTTCTTTTCTTCCATCTTCCTTTTGCAAAAGCAGATCTTATAAGTTGTCCCTCATTTTCTTTCCTACTCTGTTCTCAATCCTAGTGGCCTGTGCATTCTTTAAAGATACAAAACTTCAAAACGCAAAAGGAAAAGTATAGAATTGAACCACTACTTCTTGTATCCTGTATGGGTAGCCACTGATCTACTGACTTTTTACTGCACTTTTGTGAATATAACTAAAGATACATCGAGAATTCCAGCCAAATTTGCAGATGGTTGTCAGGTGGTAGAAACCACATTTGGGGAGATGAACTTAATATCCATTGTAAAAGTTTCACCCAGCTCTTGTCATGAATGTAGGAACTCTTGTGTTATATACAGCATGCTCCATGACAGATAAGTGATTAAACCTGCCCTCCAACAGCCTCAGTCTATTTTTAAGCTTATTCTTGTGACAGAAAGATATATCTTTAAGGATTGCTCTCTATGATAAATCTTTTTTAACTCCAGTCTCCAGAACAGACCTTGATTTAACACTACTGAAAGGCATATGGCCACTGGTGGCACAGGACCCATTGGCTTACCTTCTGGCAGCATGATTCTCTAAGCCTTGCAAAAACATTATTTTCTTTTCCTGATCATCTGTTAAGTAGCTAGAGGTTTGGTTTTGTCTCTTTTCACAGCACTTGGTGATGAACACTTCTCAAACACCTGTCTCCACAGACAGTCAGACAAATGATAGAATACCCCTCTTCCTGAGATTAAATACTGTTCAGCTCCAGTCTCTGTAGCACGTGTGCTCATTGCAATATATTATTTATGTGGATTATTTTAGTGACTGGGAGTGAGTGAAAGAGGTCTGAAAGTGAAAGGGATTTTCCTGCACTTTTCAATTTGTACATGAAGATTCATGCTCCGTAATAAAATAGATTTTCTCATTTCCTGTTTGAAAGCTAAAATCTATACCCAAGAATTGGTCTGGCCTGAGGGAGAGAGGGAGGAAAAACCAAGTTTCCAGCATGGGAAAACAGCAGGTTTAATAGTGCTGTAAACACACTGTATTAATGATTTTGGGATTGTCTTGGGGTCTGCTACTTCTGTCTGTTTGTCTCCAGAAGCTATGACTTGTGAGAATATAGATCTTAAGGAAGACCTCCTACACTTGGGGTTTGAGTTCAGTAGAAGCCATATAGGTTTCCAAACGACTGTGTTTGTAACAGTTATTCTCCCAGATAATATTTTATTTTGTGTTGTTTAAAAAGAGAACATTTTTAAATAATGAGAAATTTGCACTTCAAGACATTGCAACAACTCATAATTCTTTTGAATTATTAAAGGAATTCTTTTGAAGGAAGCCATTTCTTTTTATTCAGAATATAATATTTGGTCTCAAAATGTTAGCCTAGTAAATAATGAGATATATTTTATTTTAATTTTTAAATAATTATATTCTATGATTTTCAAAGAACTGTTTTGATCAATATGTTTATTATTTATGTATTAAGACACTGAAATAACATGACATGTTTTTCACCTAGCCAGTATGAAGTTAGAAGAACCAACAGAGAATAATAAAATGGTTGGGCCTTGTTTCATTTCTACTCCTATCTTTATCTCTAACATCCTATTTTAAACAGAGAGATGCAGAGACAACATTGTGTTCCTGTAGACTTTGTATCTGTTAATTAAACTCTTAGGTGATCCTTTTATGGATTAAGATACTTTACCTCTGAAACCATGTCTTAATTATCATGCAGTCCTTCCCCTCATGGGAATTATGATTGCTGTGAATGCTTGCCAACATGGGACACTGTGTTCCTCACATCTGTGTATTACTGACTTTACTTCTTGCTTTCCTTTTTCTCAGATAGAGCCTGGTTAATAGAGCCGAGGAAGGTCCAGAAGCTTCAGGAAAAGATTTACTTTGCACTTCAACATGTGATCCAGAAGAACCACCTCGACGATGAGATTTTGACAAAGGTAAATTGTTTAAACAAAGACCCGAGTACTGATTGATCATGACATACTTTTGCAGCCATTTCTCCATGTATTGCCACATTAATGTAAGTTAAAAGCAGCGCATTATGTGCTTGCAATGTATAGGCTTGATTTACTCTTGTCCCTGGTTCCTCTTACTCCATTTTATGTTCAATCCATTAACCATTTTAATTGGTACCCTAGCAAGAATGAGACTGCCTTAAAAAAATACCCCTGGAGGCAGTTCCTTGTTAAATGTATTTTTGGCACTTGGCTAAAATTTCCAGGACAATTGTTTTTAGTTTCTTACAGTAAGAACAACGTCTGGTTCTTTGGATGGGTAGTTTTGATGGAGTTCTGAGTATTGCATTGTTACCCAACAAGATGTTAATGTAGTTCATTTTGGAAACTGTAATTTATAGTAAATTTGCCTTGTCCCTCTTCTTTTTCTTTTTATTTTAATGTTTTGCAGTTAATAGCCAAGATACCAACCATTACTGCACTTTGCAACTTGCATGGAGAGAAACTACAGGTATTTAAGCAATCTCATCCAGATATAGTGAACACACTGTTTCCTCCATTATACAAGGAGCTTTTCAATCCAGACTCAACCACTGGCTGCAAGTGAAGGGGATAATAGAATTTTCACGTAGTCATGGAATGCGTCACTATTATGACAAAAAGAAATGTTTTCATGAAGAACTTATTAAAAATGTCACTACTGCAACACTAGGAATGTCCTGCACTTAATAGAATTATTTTTCACCGCTACAGTTTGAAGAATGTAAATATGCAACTCTGAGTGGGGATGTCTTTTTTCTCTTTTCTTTGTTTACCTTTTCTTTTCTTTGTTTTCCTTTTTTTTTTTTTTTTTTTTTTTGGAACTGACAATGAATATACAAATATAGGACACTTGGTGTTATGGTTTTTTTATTTTATTTGGGGATGTTTTGGGAGACAACTGTTCCTAGAATTTTATTGTAGATATACATGAGAATAGAGCAGTATTACTCTTGCTGTTTATTGTTCAAATATAATTTAAGAAAATTCCACTTATTAGACTTACCTATTTCTATGTTTTTAGATAGTTTAATGCATGTGGAAATTTGTAGCTGTCTTGAAAATTATGGTGCATGTATGGAATACACATATATATATATATGTGCTATATACTTTTATATATATATATATGTAGGTATTATATGCATACATGCTGTAGCTTAAAAATCCCATGCCTACTTTTAAAGGATGCTCAGCCCGGCAGTCATGCATTTCTTACTCTCCAAGTAATGTATTAGATTTACTTTGGGCAATCAAGATTTGCTTTGCCAGTCAGAGTTAAACTATCAGCTGCCGATGTGTAATGACAGGATCACTTCTGAGATATGTGTAATGTAGTGCATGTGTGCAGTCTGTAAATGAAACATCAGGAATGTATCAATGGTGCAAAAGCCTTGTCTGGATGATTTTAGTGGAGAAAGAAAAAGGTTGTTTTTTTTTTATTTTCTCCCTGTTACAGGGGTAGAGCATATATAAAAGTGAACGTTGCAGGACCTGATGTCAGTAAAGTATCAGTAACATGGACTAAAAATGTAGACTATCCCACATATACATTTTTCTGATTCCACACATGATTTTATTTTTTATATATTGCTTTGAAAAGTAGTTGCAAGGCTTGGTTTGTTTTTTGCAGAACTCAGTGGAAAGACATGTAGTGAACTCAGTGAAAACCATAGGAAGACTAAAATGCAGCTCGGAATAGTAGCAGCAGAGGGACTAAGGGAGGGAAGGACGAGGGAAGTCGAAGTGAGCAATGTCCATAGTTATGAAGGCGAACGTAACTGTCACTGTTTCTGACACAGCCATTACCTAGATGGGACCGAGGTTTCCATTACACACGTACATATATGTATGTTACATACACATGCATATATGTATGTATATATCTGTACGTATATAACTGTATATGTATACATATATATAGGGTTGTTTTTAGATGAATTTCAGAAAGGGAGCAAAAGATTGGGGCTTTCTTTTTGTCTCTGAATTGATTTTATGTGCATTTGCTTGCAAAACCAAAGGCAAACACAGAGGGGAATGGAAGACTGCCGTGGACTTAATCTTGTGGATTAATTAAGTTTAATTAGCAGTCATGATTAAGGTATTTGGATTCTATCAGAGATACAAAACATAGACTTTTTAGCTATGGAAGAGGGATTCGGCTTCTGCTATGGCTCTGTCCTTACCATCACTGTTACCTGTTGTGAGCTTTTTCAGAGAAGTCTCCTCCAGGGGTGGCAGTGGAGGGACTAGAGCAGAAATAAGAGGAAGCAGGCAGTAGAGAAGACACAAAGTGAAGGCAGGATCACAAGCAGATATATTTCTTTATTTCGAATTGCATAGAAGCCAGTGCAATCTGAGGCAAGGCAAGGAGGAGCACGCTACCAGGGAGGCCAAAGGACCTGCCGCCTGCCAGACTGCACAGCAGCACGGTGTCACCGGGAGCCCACGGGGACACAGCTGGGCCCTAGGGTGGGTGCAGAAACTTGTTTGTTGCGGTCATAACTTAATGCCTCCAGCTTTTGCAGCGCCCTAGTACAGCTCTGGTCTCAATCTTCTGTTCCTTTTTATGCGTGATCAAATAATTCACAGGCTATTCCAACTACTTTGTGGAGTTTTCCCTTGCCCTCTGTCAGCTGGTTTGCAGGTTTACATGCATGTTTCATAACAGAATCCAGTCTAGACAACATCATCATTTGTCTTCTCTATTTTAGCAAAACCAGACCAGATACAAGAGCAGTTACAAACTCTCAGCAAAAAATGTTTCTCTGTAGGACTATTATAACTTCAAAAAGAAAAAAGAAATAAACCTGCAAAGCAAAGTTAGTTGTGCTGAGAACTTTGTTGCAAACATGACATACTGTTCAAAATTACTTAGTCCTATAGAATAGCAATCTCTAAAATACCTTTTTTGCTACAAATTCAGAGCACATTTTCTGATCTCTACTGATTACATTAAAATGTCTTCAATTAAAATAATAAAGCATTGCTCTTGGTGCTTCTTGATATCACTTAAAACCTAAGATTGGCATTCCCTTATAAGGTGATTTATCTGTTTGCAGCCCCTTTTACATGGCAAATCCATTAAAAGGACCCCAAACTCCAATTCTTTCTAATATTAAAAAACTTAATTAACTATATTTATGTACTGCTTGTGTGAATTTATTTCGGAAAAAACTAAAGTCAAACTGAACCCTAGAAGTGCTCAGTTTTAATTGCGGGGGATTCACGTTTTCCTTGTCATTTCCAACACAAGAACACACACATACATATTTGTTTGAAATCCTTTATAAACTTGTTTTCAGTATTTCAAAAGTAACATATTTAGCCAAACCACAGATACATAGAATATGTGATAAATACTACTGTTCTTAGTGCTGATAAATACAGAGGTTTGTCATGTTTATAAACAGTCCGTCACAATTACATGTTACATCTTGAAAATGTTTCATTCTTTTCAAATGAGGTAATTAGTTCTTGGAATTTTTGATGTGTCTTAGGCAAGATAACAAAATGGAGATCACCAGTGAAAAATACATTATTTAATAATTATCCACACAGCTTTTAATCTTTAAAGCATTGTTCTTAAATCACTGCAACCTCGTGACCTTTTCAATCAGTAAGGATTACTGCCACTTTTTAAACATGTGGAAATGAAGGAAGAGAAGTTAAATGACTTTCCAGAGACCACAGAGGTAGCAGTATCCCGACCTGGAATAAAATGGATTCTTGCCTTTTGTCCTTTAAAAGCATTATGATGCTGGTATACAAAATCTTCATTGCCATTGACAGGCAATAGCCTGAACAATGAATTACAAATATTGCCAAACAAAATTTTACTTTCAAATAAGGTTATTTACCAACAGTTTGCTTTATTTTTGTTACTACTTTTACAGAATTTGAGGAAATAACCTTGTTCATTTGGAAAATAAAAATTCATTCTCATATATTATTTATTTGTGGTAACTAAGGCTGATAAATTTCACTGAATTTTCTGTAATTTGGGATTGGCCACGTAGGTAAACTCACTCATTGACTGAGTTTAGAACAATAAATAATGATCACATGCTACTGGATGGATTTTTGTTGGTGGTTTTGATACATAGTCATTTAAACTCAAAATTTCATATTCTTGATACTGGATTTCATGTTCAAGTTATCTATAGACTTTAAATAATGAAATAGCAGTAATTCAAGTAAATAACTTCATAATCCAGTCACAAAATGCATTTCAGAAAATATTAGTGCTGCACTTTATTTCTTCTTGGCTTTCATTAGTCCATATTAGTATCTGAAGCCCTTCAATTCAATCTCTAAGTCTAGGATTTGTCACATCTGCTCTCTGTAATAATTGGTTATGTTTGTTGATTTTTTTTAGTGACAAGCTTTTCAAATGGAACATATTTTTTAATGATTGATTAACCCGGAATCTTTAACAAAAGGATATTTAAAGCATGTATTGAATCTTCTAATTCTAGCATTGCTCTCAGATAATTCAACCACATTGATCTAAATTATCCTTGGCATCAAGGAAGCAGATGTAGGCTGTTCGTTACGCTACCACAGAGACTTAATTTTGGTGTAAATGTCACTCTTGCCAGCTCTTTGTATAAAGAATTAATTCCAAGAGTCATATTTCCTTCTAATGGAAAGATTGCTTTAGCGACTGCTAGAAAAAAAACCCAGGGTAATAGAAGGCACTCAGTCGAGCCTGCTTGTTTCCAAAAGCAATGTATATTTTTTTGATTGGTCTGTGATAGGCAGCATTTAGGAATTGATTCTGCAAGTTGTCAGGCTCCCTTAGCTCTAACTAGAGCCACTAAAAATGGAGGCATCTCAGCATCACGCAGAAGATGCTCAGCTCCTCATAAAGTCACAGGCCCTTGGTGTTAAGAGGTCCCCTTTGAGCTTTGCAGAGCACAAGTCAGATGTTATTCTCATACTTTCATTTTAATGCTTTTACTTCATGCTTCTCATTGTTCATTTCAGCTCCACTTCACAGGGATCAGTTTATTCCTCCTGTTGCGCCTTGAGCACCAATGCTGTCTCGATACCTGTGCCATGTTATGGTGCTCCAGGTGGAGCAGTTATCAGACTTGTCCAGGAAGATGAGCCTTATTAGGTGATTTTCTTTGTTTGTTTTCATGGTGGCAGCTTGCACAGGTGTACGTTTCCCTTTGGGATAGTTTACAGGGATTTCTGACATAACAACTTCTACACAAAGAGGGTGCAAAGCTGCTCTTGCACACTGACCTCTCAGCCTCCCACCAGCGGGCTGTGGGAGCTGTTCCAAGGCTGCAGCAGTCTCACAAATTGGTCAGGCAGCACAGTTAGAGACATGCAGCTGATGGCTTCTTTCCCTGTTGTCTTTTTCACCCCCTCTAAAGCTGTGCTGCAAAGCACATTTGAAAGATGTTCAAGATCCCTCCATTGTCCTTCCTCCTGTCTCCACACTGATTGTGCTGTTTCCAGAAGAGCCAAGGTCCAGCCTGGAAGCTGGTTTCTATTCTCAGAGTCATTGTCTGTTGGACATCCCAGGAATATAGCACTGGGCAATAAGATCAAACTGAAACATTAAAAAGTTTTTTGTCCAAATACATTATGTCTAAGCGCATATGAAATGGAAACCTGTGACAGAACAGCTTGCTTTTCCCTGACAATAGCAAAATAGTGCATTTACACCTACCAAGCTGTCCCAGCACTTTCTGGCTCCACTCCACAAACTAACTCCCATCTCTGGCATCCATTAGCAACAGTGTGTTGGAGACCCAGTCCTCTTCTTTCCTTTTTAATTTTCACGCTTTGTAAATGACAATCACTGCTTGATGCAGATGTTGCACTGTATGCCACTCAGGGATGTTTCATTACTAAAAATAGCTATATAACAGTGATAATAAGGAAGAGAA